ATGCATAAATGCACGAGGTCAGATGATATAAAAAATAACTTACCGCTGAAGAGGTTAAAATCCCATAACAATGGAGAGAGTAGCAGCCAAACAACCCGAACAAACAACTAAAGGTAAGGTAAGGACAAGAAAGGGTACTACTCCATAAACTGGTGATTGGGGACCAATATCCCAAAATTTGGAATCTAAACGAAGGACCGATACATCCCAACCAAGACTTCAACAGGAAAAATGACCGACCGTCAGTTGACTGTCAATCAAATTCAAAAGTAGGAGCGTGCTATGTGCCTATAGGCGGAAAACCAATTTTACGAGGAACCAAAGATGAGGAAATTTCTGAGATAGTCAATTAAATATTATAACGATAGCGTCCAAAAAGTTTGAACACAATACTGAGTCGTCAAGGAAGTAAGATACAATATGCGTGAAATCTTACTTTCAGGATTAGGTAGTTTCGAACTCGATAGATCAATAAATTATGAAATTTGCCAAAAGAAAATCATCGAAAAGGGCTTGGCTTTCATTAATAAATAGTAATTCAAATTACTCGTAAGTGATCAGAATAGTAGAAGGCAAAAGTTTTGTTAGTTTGGCACGATACACGTCAATGTTTTCTTTTTAAAAAATTTGTTCAGGTATTTCTGGAACCGACAGTCCGATTTGAATGAAATTTCGAACACATGTGTTTACCCCCGTCTACAATTGTAGCAGAGTTTTTTGCAACTCTCGCAATGATTTTTTTTTATCTGGAAGATCCTTTTATCAAGTTCATTTTTTGTATCTTATAAAAACGTCCTATCTCGCATAGTTTTCGAGAGAAAAAAAATGTTTTTTGGAGCTGGTTTCTAAAAAAGTTTTTTATCACATCAAGTGTTAAAATCTAGTGGGCATGTATTTGACGGAAATAATAATAATAATAATAATAATAATAATAATAGACGTCATTATTTATCCACAATTACATTGTAGTATAGCCAAATGTCAGAAATGAAGGATATTATAACAGTGTCAGATTATTTTTTTACTTCATAAAGTTTAAATTAATAAGTTACGTTTGAGTTTATTTTTGATTGTTAATTTCTTGTTTGTTTTTCATAAATTTTAAATTAGTTAACGTTTGAAATTATTTTTGGTCAAGTTGTCTTTCTTGATGCTTGTTTTTCTCGTGAATGTGGAATATCATTTTGATCAACAGACTGATATGTTGTTAGTAACTTGGTTTCCATGAAAGAATTGCAGAGAAAACTAAATAGGTATAATTTTTGGAGCTGTATTGTTATGTGCAGGAAGGGAACTGGTGATACTGAATATTTACACGTTTTACACCTATTCTGACAGCGCTTATGAGACTTTTTTTATATATATATCGAAGCAGCCGCGCAGGCAGAAGCCAAATTCCGGAACACAGCGGCTGCTATGATGATCCCAAAGAAATTTTGTTAATACAATTTGTGAACTGCCTAAGATTAGTAGAAATGGGAAAAGCTTCCTCTTGTAGATTGTTCCACAGTCTCGGCATCCTCGGTGCAAAGGAGCGGTCGTATCGGCCAGTATGAAGTTCGACACGCTTAGGATGGGACGCCAAAGTCAGGCGGGTCTGTTTGGCAGGTACGTCGCGCGGCGGCATCATGGAAGAGAGCTCTGAGGAGCAAAGCCCGTTGGTGTAGCGGTAGAAAAGAGTTAGATCGCCGGCTGCCCGCCGGTGCGAAAGAGTTCCGAGACTGTCTGTTAGAGAAGAATCATTGATCAGTCGGACCGCCCTCCTCTGGCCAGCATCGAGCATGGATAATGTAGTCGGGGCGGCAGCACCCCAAACGTGTGAGCAATACTCGAGGCTAGGCCTTATCTGGGCCTTGTATAGAGTGAGAAGGTCATGCGGATAAAAGTACTTCTTAGCCCTAAACAAATAGCCTAGCTTTTTCCCAGCAGCTGCAGCTCCTGACGAGATGTGTTCGTGCCAGATCAGGTCATCGGTGAACTGGACTCCGACCAGCCGAAACGAATGGCTCTTTGGCAGAACTCGTCCATCCATCTCAACTTGAATGAGACTGAAGACACATTGAGACCATATGCACACCAGTTAGATTCCGATCAAAACTGCATTTTTTTATACTCAAACCACTACGAAGGTACCTAAACAAAAAAATTCGGAGTAATCACCCATCGCTTGGGTTAAACCATGTAACCTTGGTGAAAATTTTGCGTTCTATTCACACCACATTTTGGTAAGCCATAATAATAAAGAAAAATTAAGGCCAACAAACACGTCGGTGTGCGCCACACCTAAAAAGGTGAAGGCCAGTAAGAGAAAAAAATTAACTAAGGTGATCAATCTAAAAAAGACAAAAAAGAGGGATGGGCTCGGTTGCGGCAGGCAATAAACTGTTAATTAGATTAGGCATTTAATTTTCTCCTTCTGCGGCTTTAAATGGTTAACACTAGCACGCGAACTGACGTTTACGCGCTCCGAATTTTTTCCGGTAGCCATAAGGACTGGAAATGGGGAGCAGAGGGTGAAATTAGGGTGAATCATTATAAGGACAAATGATAGCTTTGGCACGTCAAAGAGCGGCTTTGTACGTCAACATTTTCAACATTTAGATGACTTTTACTTTCCACACCTACTGGAGAGGAAGTATTGTAATCGCGAAATATTTCGAAAATGAGACATTAAGCTTTTTGGATGTGATATGACACGAAAAACCATGTCACTCATTTCCGTCGGTCTGTTTGTCAGTCCGTATGCTAATCCTTGGATAGTTTATAACTTGGATGAAATTTTTACACTAAGTTACTACTAGGCCAAGGACAAAAAGCTTCGTAGTTTTTAAAAAAGAGGAAAAAGTAAGAATCGCCTGTTTTTAATCTTTCAGAGGCTCCTGATCTTTTTTAGAATAAAGAAAACTTGAATCATGCGCTTCACGTTAAACTGTCTATACGGATAAACAGGAAGTCCGCCGTCGTCGCTCTAGATTCAACCAATGAAAAGAAGCCTGAAAATCACGTGTTTGTTGCGACAGATCAGTTGATTTTTCCGCGTACTTTTCGCTCTGTTTGACATTGACCTACGTTTGTTTTGATTTTGTATTCGGCGTGGCTTCCTTTAAGATTGTTAAATATAATTTAGCTTATTTAAATGACTATTTCCCTCAATTTCTACCAATCATAAACGCGCAATTTTGAATTACGAATGGTTTTTAGATGGAAAAACTGTATCACGTCACCTGTCAGCAGTTTTTCCGAGCTTACCCGCGGCAAAACTTGACAGCTGTTGTCACCAAAAATTACAATTCCTTTGATAACAAGTAATTATGGTCTCCTAGGACATCAGAAAACGACGCTAAGCAATTTTTCTGATTTCATTCTCAATAAATATTGTGAGCTATGTGTATGCAGAATAATCTGTTACTCATGTATATAGTCTTGTCAAATACCATTCGGGCATCTTATGTTTTCCTGTGAAGAAAATCAAAAAACCCAATTCAAAGTAATATTTTTTTTTTAACAAAAGACATTCGTGCAGGAGCAAATATTCCCGCTTTTTTTTGTTGCCAACAGCACTCAGGCTTCTTGTAGATATATTACTTAGCAACGTGTTTTTTCGATTTTTTTCGGAAAAATGAGATGCCCTTATGATATTACTTCTGACAATAATATAAATCATCAGGAGATTGTGTGCTACAAGTGATGACAAAACTGCATCTGGTGTTCTAGTTACTAGTATTCAATAATAGGTAGTCGTTTTTATTTATAGGTACAATTTAGGCTTCTTTGTCAACGCCAATTGTATAGCAAAGTAACAAAAAGAATCGCAAGGTTGGCAAATCATTTGCTCAATCCATTTTCGCAAATCCAAATCACAAAATACAAAAAAACAAACACAAAGGTACGGTTAGCAGCTACCGCCTCTTGTCGTCTGTCAGGCAAGCTTGTTCTTCAAATAGTGAAAGGGAAGTTATGAGTCATACGCCGTAACCTTAGTAAGTTAATGAATGGATTTTAACTGCCAGCGGCATCGTTACGGTACCGGTGCGCCGGCGGTACGTCAACGTCAGTTTATAAATTGACCTGAAATACTACATCATTGATTCCCAAAGTCAGCGAAAAAAAATTTGGGGGTCCACGAAATGAATATGGGGGTCCACGATAGTGGATCTCAACACATACACTGATAGTACCTACTTACTTACATCATACTATCTTATAATATCAAAACATAGACATTATTTATAAAAGTACCTATGAAGTAAAAAATGTATTATAAAATTGTGTAAGTTGTAGGATGTTGGTATTCGCTTTGTGGTCGCAATACATTTTTAACTTGTAAAAACCTGAGAGTCGCAGCCTCAGAGCTTCGCTATCTTGCACTGACTTGTTCAATTCGTCACTCTATAAATACGAATGTGGGACAAATACGTTTATTCATTTCCCGAATCTTGAAACGGAAAGTGCTAAGAAAATATTTTAAAAAATATAAACAGATAGTATATCACACAAATTATAGTGAGTCAGTGTTATTTTGTTTGAGAGTGCTGGAGAAAAGTAAGTACATTATTTTTTATTAAATTTTAGTTTTGTACTCGTAGTTAGCAAAGATAGATAAATTACGCCAATCATGACTTTAGTTATTAGTAGTTAAATATTCAATCATGCAAAATTACACGAGTACTCCTCAATAGTTTCTTTTTGAAAGTTTTAGTAATCGGTAATATAATTACAGTGCAATCTCCGTAATTCGAGCTAATTGTTGCAAGAAGATGTTCGAATTATGGAATGTTTTCGGAAAAATCAAAAAATATTTTTAATATACAGCTGCTGGATTTTCTGTCTTATTTAAATAATTTAATTTTGCCCACAGATGACTGATGCCATGTCCGAATCTAAAAAAAAAATGTAGACAGTACAGTGTTGATTATTTGAATTTTGGCTTCATTCCATCATCGCCGTACAAACAATCGCCTATGTGCCTTTTATGCAACAAAGTTTTGGGCAATGACGCTATGAAACCATCTAAACTGCAAGATCATCTGAAAAGATGCCACCCTGATAAAACAGAGAAAGATTTGAAATACTTTCAAACACTCAAAGATAAATTTCAGAAGAGACCTACACTGGACATAATGTTCGCTTCGACGTCACAGAGAAATGATGATGGTTTGCGGGCGTCTTACAATATCTCGTTAATTATAGCAAAATCCGGAAAACCGCATACTATCGGAGTGAAGTTAATTTTGCCAGCCGTTGAAGAGGTTTTAAAAACTGTTTTACACAAACCTGCATCTGATATCATTAAAAGAATTCCCTTAAGCAACAATAATGTTGAAAGACGTATTGATGAAATGAGTTCTGATATTGAAAGCTTCTTATGTAATTATTTGCAAACGACCCATTTCTCTATACAACTGGACGAGTCAACTTTACCTGATAATGCAGCATTATTATTGGCATATGTTCGTTTTATTATGAATCAAGAAATCTACGAAGAACTGCTCTTCGCAAGAACTTTGATAACCGACACTAAAGGTGAATCAATATTTCATGTTTTGAAGGATTACTTCATTGAAAAAGCAATTCCTTTATCAAATATAATATCAGTAGCTACAGATGGAGCACCTGCCATGGTTGGACGTTATCGTGGATTTATAAGCTATTTAAAACAAAATGTGTCAGGGGTGTTAGCAATACATTGCGTCATCCATCGACAACATTTAGTTGCTAAAAATTTGAGTGTTAGATTGCATGAATCACTTCATTTAGTCATTGATGCAGTAAACCGAATCCGAAGCAACGCGTTGAATACGCGGTTATTTGGGCAGTTGTGTGAAGAAAATAACGAACACTTTCATGAATTACTCCTTCACACTGAAGTACGCTGGCTGTCAAAAGGCTTATGTTTGACAAGATTTTTTGCACTTTTTGAGACTATTTTAGAATTTCTGGATACTAAAGATAAAAATTTTAAAAGAAAATTTAATGAAGAGGAAAACAGACATCGCCTATTAAACATATTTGTTTACAAAATTTAATATGGTTAATTTGCAATTACAAGGCGACAGTTTAAATTTGATTAAAACAAAGTCTATCTTATCAGCGTTTCTTGCCAGAGTTAAACAAATGAAGCAAAATATTGGGCGGGGCGAATTTTCTCAGTTCCCCAATTTGTCACAGACAAGCTGCCAGGAAGACGACGTTTCAGCTTATGTTCAACATTTAAATGCCCTCTATTCAGATTTTGAATCTAGGTTTGAGGATATTTTGACTATGGTAATACCACCGTGGATAATTAATCCATTTGGTGACATAGAAGAAGCGAATGTCATAATACAAGAGGAACTGACTGAACTAAGTACAAACGAAGAACTTAAGGTTCAGTTTAAAAACGGAAATCAGCAATTCTGGCTGCAAAACAACATACCCGTTACTTATCCCGTATTATGGAGTATAGCAAGAAAATTTTTAATTTCCTTTCCATCGTCATACCTAGTGGAAAGGGGGTTCAGCGCTGTTACCAATCTCCTAACGAAAAAAATAAACAGACTGGACATCATTAGCCGAGGAGGTTTAAGATTAACCCTTAGAAAATTGACGCCAAATGTTGGTAATTTATTATTAAAGCATCAGCTTCATCCTTCTCACTGAAAATATTGACTTATTGCTTATGTTATTTTATGTTTATTGGTGTCTGACCAATAGATGCCCGCATTGGAATAAGTGAGTAAGATTTTTTTACAGAATCCCCCTTTATAGAAAATATTTTTTTAATATTATTCTGAAAATTCAAGCATAGGTACACACTAAAATTCGTTAATTTTTTGCGTACTTTTAGATAACGTCAGACACCTGTTTATTTAATGTTACGTATATTTTACATAACAGATACAAAATTTTATTTCGAGTAGTTTTAATTTAAATTCAATTAATAAATTATAAAATATATAATATATATAATTATAAATAATTAACATGTGTTTTTACTTTAAGTTTTTAACACTAAACTTCACTACAGTTAGAAATGTACAGGAAATCAATATCTGGTAAGTAGGGGGTCTACCCCGGAAACACATGGCAAGGGGTCTACGACACAAAAAAGTTTGGGGAACTCTGTGCTACATTGTAAAAAACGGTGAATGTACATTAGTGGAAAAAAATTGTAGAAATTGGTGAATGTACTGTATCACTGAAACGAGAGTGACAAACGGCAGCTTAATATTGTGTATCCGGCTATAAGTTGACCCCGTCTCTCAACTTTTTTATATAACCTTCTAGCAGAAACATGTATATAAAAGATATGGAGTCTAAAATAATTTTTTTCATTTAATATTTTTTGGTCTCAGAAAAGTGGTCGGATCAATTTGTAATTTTTAAATGAAGCACTGTATATTTTTAGCGAAAATGATAGCACCTTAAAGTTAAATTCCAAATACATATGGTTTGCAAAACTTATTTTTATCACTTTAGTAAAAAAATTGAAGTTTTTGTGTATTGGTCTGCATCTATATGAAATCAGTGATTATGTGAGAAATGCGCTGATTTGTATTTTCTACTTGACATCGTAAAATAAATTTCTTCAACTTTAAATGACTGGGAATAAAAATTAATGTGAAATGTAATAACTTTTTTACGTTTCATAAATATTCCTGTCTGTACCATATGTTCTCACCTGTTAGTTTTAATATACTTCACCAACCAGGGACTTTCTATCCTTATCGCTTTTTTTTTAATTCAGCAAATTTGCATATGTAATTTCCAGGTTGAATAACAAAAAGCGAATGCCCATCTAATTTTCATCTTTGGATACATCTCAAGTAAATGTATTTGAGACTAGAAACCAATGGAATCAATACAGAATATTAGCACACAAATCCTCACTATGCACCTATGCTCTGCCTTTCCCTTCCAGCTATAGTAAACAACTTACAGCTTACACCTTTAACAATGTCATTTCTGAAGAAAATGTTATAGCACATCAGAGCCACGCATTTTGACGTTTAGGGATCACTCATAGCTATCTTGTAGAGAAACCTACATAATGTCACAAAAAACCTATATAATGTCACAAAAAACCTATATAATGTCCAAAAAACCGACATTTCAAAATACGTAATACATCTGTCGGCCTTATACCAGATTTCATATGTGGCTAGATGCAAACTGGTTCGAACTATGATATATACTAAATGACACACAAACTATTTCACAAGCTAATTAAAATAAGTATGAATCACAAAAGAAGGGATTATCATTTTCCCTGAAAATATATGTGTTCCTTTAAAAAAAATACAACAGCGTAAATGGCAACATTGGTAAGATACTGCTCAACTACTGGAGATGCTCAGCTTGTTACAGAGACCTGCGCGTTCTATAATATTTTTAAGCTTCCTATTATTTATGGCAACATACATAGATGAACACACTAATCAACCGATAATACCAGAATTCAAAAGACCTTATAACTGCACAAGCCAAATGTTATCGTTCAATGATGCAAAACACCCCAGAGACGACAGCCTCCCTCAAGTAATAAAACCGCGTTTTTACCGTGATGTAGCTAGAGTCACTCTTTTATTTTCAAACCATCATCCCTAACAACTTCTGTCGTGGTTCCTAATGGGCCTGATGGGTGGTGCAGGGCGAGCAGGGGGTGCGCTTGTCAAAACATGCCATGCCACATACATTTTAATTACATGTATCACTTTGTGTTCACGTCCCTACCCTTGCAGGATGCTATCTGTTTGGGCATCTGAACTCAATTTACAGTGACGGCGTATATTGATGATCCGTGATTCAGTATGAACGCGGATAAAATTACTGATATCTGAATGAAGTTTACACAGAAAGGCAGCGTCTTACCTCAGATCACACTAAGTCTGTCTGGGAATTTTGAATTTCGAAATTCGTTAGAATAGTCTACTTGACTCATATCTAATTTCATAGAATTATTGAGTATCTCTCACAATATTTCGCATAGGAAAATGAAATATAGCGATTCCAATTTTTAAAATCGCACAGTATGTAAAACATACATATATTTAGAATGTCCAATTTTGGCACACTCTCTCCAACATATCGGCCGGTATCTCACGAATAAATGCTTCAATATTGGCTTCCAGTGCTTCAATCGTTGCTGGTTTATCCCTGTAGACATTAGCCTTAACATGGCCCCACAAGAAATAGTCCAACGGCGTTAAATCACACATTCTAGGCGGCCAATTGACGGGCCCCAAACGTGAGATAAACTGTTCACCGAACTCGCCTCTCAATAGGGCCATTGTTTCGTGTGCGGTGTGGCATGTGGCACCGTCTTGTTGAAACCACATGTGAGCCAAGTCCAGCTCTTCCATTTTAGACAAAAAAAAGTTTGTTCCCATCGCACGGTAGCGCTCGCCATTCACAGTTACGTTCCGGCCATTGTCGTCTTTGAAGAAGTACGGCCCGGTGATGCCACCGGCCCATAATCCACACCAAACAGTGATTTTTTCGGGATGCATTGGTAGCTCTTGCAATGCTTCTGGCTGGTCTTCACTCCAGATGCGGCAATTTTGCTTGTCAACGTACCCATTCAACCAGAAATGAGCTTCGTCGCTGAACACAATTTTTCGATAAAAATGTGGATCTTCCTCCAACTTTGCCAGCGCCCATTCACCAAATGGGAAACGTTGTGGGAGGTCGTGTGGCTTCAATTCTTGCACCAGCTGTATCTTATAAGGTTTTACACCCAAATCCTGTCGCAAAATTTTCCACGTAGTGTAGTAACAGAGGCCCAATTTCTGCGAACGGCGGCGAATCGACATTTCACGGTCATCACTAACACTGGCGGATACAGCCGCAATATTTTCTTCAGTCTGCGTGTTGGTGGTTGGAAATTTAGTCACAAGCTTCCGAATAGCTCCCTCAGTAGGCCGACCAAATTGCCCATAAATTGGAAGCACTGCTCGATGCACTCTCTTAACCGAGCATGAATTTTGATAGTAAACTTCAATAATTTGCAAGCGTTGTTCGTTCGTAAGTCGATCCATGGTTAAATTATAGACCAAACTGAACAAGTTTGACAATGACACAAGACACGATTCATGTGTCATCTGTCAAAAACAGTGTTGCCAAAAAGATACTAGCAAAAAAATCACCCAAATACATTTTTAAATCAGAGTTTTACGTCTTTTAGGTTTGAAAACAATTAGTATAAATTTTTTTTCTGGCTAATAGAATAAATATTAAGTAATCAAAAAAAAAGTCAACTAGCATATTCGTTAATAGTTTGGGTGACCTTCAATGGATGTTCCCTGTAGTGTCACACGTTTTGACCAGTTTCTGTAAAAATGCTTTGAGTTGGTGCTTTTTACTTTCGTGGGATAAAAGAATTTTTGAAGTATTTAGCTTTTAGTTGTATCTATGTGCTTTACGGGGAAACATCCTTATCTACATGTGGATACAAACGAGCAGTATTTATATCCGCAGCAAGGTAATGCCTAAACAATACTTATGACAATAATGAAAGCCCTTCTCATCCTCCACCCTTGCAGGATGCGTAATGTCCCTCCCGGCTCATCGTCCGAAAGAATAAACAGATGTGCACCTACGTACAGACAGACAGACGGTGCTAATGCTTCTAATAGGGCCTTCCGTCTCCCCGGAGGATACTTTGCCTATTTGATGCTTGGAAGGGCGCTCTGCTTACACCAAGAGAGATCTAAAATCAAAGATAATGCGTTGGGTGGTGCTAAATTGACTCGCCAATAATCAGGAGGGATGGTGAGGGGTAAAGGTAGTATTATTTTTACTTGCTGGGGTATTTGGATGCTAAGTGAGTTTGTGATGAACGGTGAACCTTTAGAATCAGTTTGAATAAGTTTCAAAAACAAGCATAATAACAACGTATCAGTCACCAGTCTATTCAGATTTACACGTAGTCTGCAAAAAATGAAAAATTCTACAACATTAATGTACTTTTTTTTTTTCATTCTTTGGGGCACCCTTTGCGGAAATCGGAAATATATTATGATATTCTGAATTTAAGACTAAAACGGCTAAAGGGGAAGAATTACTTTTGCGATACTCGTATCTACTTATGCCGAAAGTACAGTTTGAAGAGATATACGGAAAACTTCAACACTATGCGGAGTTTCAGATTTAAAGAACAAATGCATCCTCACCGGTCAGTCATAACAATTTTTATAACAAAAACTGGCGTCCCTTTACCGTGTGATGATAGTTTTTTTAATAATGGGTCCCTCTAGAAAAATTTTGTCAATTAGGTTGACTTGCACTTCCCACGCAACACTTTAATCAGCTCATAAAGGATCATGTTCAGCACTGAGAGAAAAGTTAGTTACAAACATGTATAACAGAAAAATTTAATGGATTGGGTCAGTCAAATAGTCCATAGTCCCCATCCATGTAACAACGTTGCAATTTAGAAATTTGTCATCTGC